TAAAAATATGTCAATAAGTATACATTAATAATAATGATCATGTGTTAATGATATTACAGTCGAACGGCTCTCTATTTAGCGTTCACCCTTTCAAGCGGTCATTTTGGTCTTTCCCCTAGGTGTCCGCTTAACAGAGGTCCAGCTGTATACCAGTAGTTTAGTAGCTGCCTTTTGATAGTCTTAACTTCTACTATGATTCATTGATAAGTGTTTATTATTACAATCAGGCAGAGACCATTCGATTTTAGAGTGGTTAACCCATGAAACACACTTTAGCGTATTTATCGCTATTACACTTCTGCTCTTTTGTTTTTTATTGTCTCTACGCGGCTATTACGATCTATTACACTCTAATTATTACACTTTGTTTCACGGGTTTATGAAAACCACTCTAATGGTTGCTAGCCAAAATGTATGGAATACATCAAGACCGCAAAGTTTTAGTTGCCACTGTTTGCCCGACAGCATGCGCAAGTAGGCATTTCGTTTACATTCCTTAAATACTCTGCCTGTACATGTTATCCTTGAAAGGGTGGTGAATCCTAATAAGCATCCTCTTTAGTCATTGCCTGTTTTTTTTTTATTACTCAATTTCTTACTCCCGCCTTCAAATATCATACCTCTACTTAACGCTCCCCCTTCTTGCTTAAACATTAACCCCTTATCCCATCCTGACACCTCCAACAAGGCAGCAAATCATTGCTTWACCCAATCAGCGTCATGCTGCCTAGTCGATTACATCCTCCYACTTTCCTGTTTTTGAAGATCGCAACTTAACTACAATCGAAAAGTCAAGTAAGGATTATTAAAAAAAAGTCAAGTATTCTAACAAGCATGTCCAAGTGTTGATTTTTTTTGGTGGGGAATGGGGTGGTTGGTTGGGGGTAGGGGTGGGGGACAACATAGAAACAYCTGACATTACGTAACACACCCTTCTACAAGAGGCAGACAGACAGGCAGACGCTGGTTTGTCATAAGATTACTTATGAACAGCTTAAAATGTTTATGATCCGCAAAGTCCGCAAACGATCGTTATCAATACATGTGCTTACGTTAAGAACCGCAGTGTTTATGCGCGGATGGGACTAGTAAACGTAGCGTTTACGTTTAGGCGGTTAATCTTTGACAAGGGGTGGCTGTCTGAATATAAGGACCGATGATACAATTCTTGAAGGACACAACTCTAAGTSTACTGAAGTGGTGACGGAAMRCGGGAACAGTCTACTGAAGTGGTGACGGAACGCGGGGACAGTCTACTGAAATGATGACGGAACGCAATGGATACAGAAGTCACGTAAGTGACGACATCCTTTTTTACTTTTTAAAAGATCTTTAGATAATCTAGAGAAAGATTGATTTTTGTGTATGATAAAATAATTGAATTTTTTAAATAACCAAACATATTGGATTACACATTGGATTCAGAAAAATGACTGATTGTACGATGATCATGTTTCATCCTCCTTTTGATAATTGTTTTTTCTTGGTCAACTTCAATTTGGATCATRAAAACGCCTTTTGTCCGAGTGTGAAAACATCATAAAACATTCATATCGACCACAGAAACAATTTCAAAGCAAAAAAGTCAAGTGTATGTGTTTAACTTGACGATAAAAGAATAAAAAGGGTGGTTATATCTACAAAAGCATCCAGCTGTGGTCAATTTGTAGGGTTGAGTAACTAAGCCCAACGTCTCTAGAAGACTGTGGTGTGATTTGCTAATACTTTTTAAAAAAAGCCTTTACACATCCGTCGAAAAGACAAATTGCTTATAAAATACTAAAATTGGAATGTCATGTTCGATGAAAATAACGTGAGGACCTGTCTACTCTTGGGATATCAAGTAATTTTTCATTAAAGTGATTGTTTACTTTTAAAAGCGCTTGGCGCAAACCTTAAAAAACGTCGGTTATATTCATATATATACGAATTGTAATTACTTGAATACGTTGAATAACAGCCTGTTTCTATTCCCTTATTTCTTTTCATCCTTCTTTATCATTTTCTCAGTGTTCTGTTCGCATTTTTTATTTCTCTTCTCTTGGTTTTGTCTCTTCAATCTCTCTTTTTGTATTCCATTCTATTCCCTACTGTTTCAATCTCGCTTAAAACTGAAAGGATCGAAACAAAACCAGAGACGTAGTAGAAAACGTGAGAAACACTCATCTTATCATCACYATCATCATCATCATCATCATYATCATGGTTTTTTGTGAACSTCATGATGTAACCATACAACGATAACCATTATTACTCGATTCTAAATTATGTTATGAATGAAAATATCAAAGTGTAAATGGCTGAAAGATATATACTCTGCATTCTAAACCCAATCATTCAAGATACTAGAGAAAACAAACCATTCSACRRTTGGGTTGTAATCAGTGAAGGTTAAGTGTATGCCATGACCACAGTTAAACTATAACCAGGCGCACATGGATTAGGCGGAGTATAATAGGTTTAAATTATTCAAAGGTGACGTTTATTAACTATTACAACCACATGATTTCAGTGAAGAATGTACTACTAAAGGAAGCTTTGTTTTCTGAAACTCCTAAACGACAAGAAATTCTTCATCAAAGTAAGCTTTACTAGTACTGTTTAWGAGGTAAGTATCTATTTTATGAAACTAGAAAATGAAATCGAAAAGGTGTAGATTTATCGTCGAATTAGTTAATAGTTTATTTTACAATATTTACAATTGAAAAGTTTCATGCCGCGCGACTGAGACTATCAATAATAATGAATCTAATGATAGTATATTASTGTTAATTCAAAAAAAGTATATTCTTCTTAATCTTAGATTGAACAGGATTGTAGGTAGATCTCCATCATGTAGGATAAATGAGCAATCATTGACAAATCCATCCAATATGGCGGCCATATAGTAATATCTAACCCAGATATGTTTCTTTGACGACAATATGAGAATCCAGTGTTCACTTCGTTTGGATGATTAATACAGATAATAATTGTACTTCATACACTTCACTTTATTACCAAAAGGGCCGAAATTTTTAGTTCCAGTGTGAGGGATTGTCGGGTTAGGATAACTTTTGATATAATTAGTACAAAGGTACAAGTTATAAATATATCAAAGAGGAGAGCAGATAT